TTTTTTTTCCGTTTACGTCTTTATAAAAAGAATCATAAATTCACAATAATGAAGTAAAAGTATATAGAGTTAATCTGTAATTAAACCTATCTTCCAACTCTTTTGCACTGTCTTTATCAGATTTCTTTACAAGGTGAGGAGTGATATTAGAACAATAACCTAATTTATAAAAATATAAGGTAAGACTATGAATATAAGCAGTATTATTTATTCCTTGCTCAATACTAAATCTTACACTTGGAGATGTTTGACCCTTAATTTGGTCTGCTCACCAGTCACCAAGCATACCGCATATTATTATAGATAAAACCTCCTTATTATGTGGACCTATTCTATATAACGCTTTAGTTCTAGATTTACTGAAATAAGATGATGAGTTATATTGGACACATTTATTATGAGAAATTAACATTCAATTTGGCCACTTATCTTTAGCCATCATTAAGATAAAGATAACAGTACCAATAGTTCATACTAGAGTTCTAGGTGCTCTATATGATCCATAGTACATACCTCTACCTATGTGTAAGTAAACTATGAAGAAAAATGCTGAAGCAGTGTTACTATGTAAATAACGTATTAATCACCCGTTGTTTACATCACGCATAATCTAAAAATAGATGAATCCTTTATCAATATTTAATCCCTAGACGTACTATCTATGGGTTTAGATGAAAAATAAAATTATTTTTATATAACCTACCTGTATCTATGTAACGATTACATGTATTACTACTAGGATTTAATCCTAGGGACTACCCACCTAGTTTGTAAAACATGCTGGGTATAAAATGGGGTTTAACTAACTTTTTTACTTTGTATAATGAATTCCGAGAAATATATATCCTATATCCATGTTCATTACTAGCTTTATGAAGAGTACATTTAAAATCATAACGTATAATTAATACATTCATTAATCGGACTGTATCTTGAATAGTATAAGAGTCAGTACAAATATAAATACCTTTACTTTTAAATCCACCATCTCCCATGATAAGATGAGCTAGAGCAACTGGAGTTAAAAGATTATAAATATCTTCTGGTACTATTTTAACGTTATTTATATAGAATACTGGGTATAATTCAGTGAAACAAGTCAATCCTCGAGTAAAAAAGCCTAAATTATAAAGTACTTTTCCTTATCTTTTACTTTCTGCGTAATAAGGGTAACTACTACAATAATGAGATAATTCATTAAAAATAAACCATACATAAGATGCTTTATTTATAGTTTGTTTAAACCCTAATCGTGCATTTTTATTTGTTTTACTTGCAAAGGTTAACCAACCATCTGATAATAATAATCCTATTATAATACTCTTATTATAATTCGGTAATTTTATCATAGAGGTAACTAACTTTGTAAATTTACCTGTACCCACTTGAGACCTTAAATTTGTACCTCAAATGACTAAACTTAATTCGTTATTAGTACTTGATTTCTTAGTGCTTGATTTCTTAGTACTATATTTTCTTCGGCTAGACGCATCTGTTAATCCTGAAAATCAGTATAAGAACTCACTGGAAACATTTTTCAATAGGTTGTCTTCAGTACGTACATTAGAATTTTTATTACAGTTAGTAGAATAGTTACAAAATCCCATTTTATTTTTATGACCCGATACGTAAGTAGGCAATAATATTAGACCGTTAAATAGGTATAATGGATTAATCTTTAACTATTGATCTTTCAACCAATATAGGACTATATCATCATACAGTAAGTATGTCAACCATGTAGTCTCTGAGGATCTTATTCGTAATTGAATTACTTTGGTTTCCTGCTGATTATCCATAAATATCTTAAATATTTTTATTAACTTCGTAAGCGAAGTTTAATCTTTTAATCTTTAGGAACTTCCAGCATACGGGTTGATTTAACGAGCACATTACGCTATGCTCAACACTATTAAATGCTTCTGCTACACTAGGATTGTAATGCATCGCTAATGTTACACCAGTAACAATTTGTATAATTAAACAAAAGGCTAATAAAGAACCAAAATTTCACATGTAACTTAAGTTTATAGGTTGTGGTGAATCAACTAAGTATGAATTCGCTAATCTTAAAATCGGATGACTTTTAAATAATCTCATTTATTTATTTTTTTTGCTTTAATCTTATTTTCATTTAGTAAATTATGTTAACAGTTACACTGCTTTATTACTATTTAACGGATTTATTATAAACCGTTAAATCTTTTATAAATTTCCTGTTATTATTTATATGCATAATTATATAGATATATGACCAATGCATTATTATTAAGTTTTATATTTGCTAGGTGAAAGGGTAAAGTTGTATAGGTAAACTATTCATCTAACTATTAAACTTTAGCATGCTCTAT